AGCGCCCTGCCGCCGCAGCATTGAAGGCACTGGCGGGAAATCCGGCGATTAACAAATCATGGATATTCGACGTTGAGGGAGTGTTACCCGAAGCCGGAAGGATCCGAAGGTGGCTGTCCTCAAAGACCGTGTCTTATGCCCCGGCCAGAGAGCCCCGATAGGAATGCTTCCAAACCCCCTCAGAGCCACCGGGGCACCCTGCGCAGGATTCGCTGTCGCAGAGCCTTGGCTTTGGCGTTACTCTTGGGTACTGTTTGTTCCCTTGGACAGGTAAAGTAAGTTTTAAGAAGCTTGCGACACAGTATGTGCGTGTATTCTCAGATCTTACTCCGTTCATTTCCGGTCGCTCGCGAGCGTAGATCCTTGATTATTGACGCGCGCTTCTGAGAAGGCTTTGCTGAATTTCAGGCATGGGTTATACTTGCATTCTTGAAGCTTTGAACTGCTTCTTCTGGTATTTGATCGTCACTGTTAGTCCCGCCTGGATTTGAGAAGATAGTGAGTACCCCAATGTACCCCTTAAGGTTTAGGGTTTAGGGTTTGGGGTTTAGGGCTCCCGCCTGGATTTGAGAAGATAGTGAGTACCCCTTAAGCGTCGTGTCGACCTGAGTCTCTCGAGCTTCCAGCTGTAGGAGCCTCGGACCTCTGGAATTGGTTGTGGCCGGCCACTGGGCTGCTTTTGCTTTCGAGGTCCTTGGGAGTCAGGGCATGGAGGGGCCGCGTTGCCAGAAGGTGGATTCTGAAGTATCGGTGGTTTTATCTGTGTTGCTCACCACCATATCCCACTTGCTCCCCGTCCTGGTCCCCTTCTTTGTTTCTGATCTTCCTTTCCTGAGGTGGGACTCGTTGCAGTGTGGCCGTCTTCGTTTTCTGTTCCTTTTGTCTGGTTCGTTTGGGCTTATCAGTCTCACTTTGTCACCGCTCTTGTTTGTTCTGCTCCTCAGTAGTGGTTTTCTCGCAAACAAATGTGTCAAGCAAGGGTTGTGACTTTGGGTGCTGGACGCCGGACGGACAGAGCCGCTACGGGGGGAGACGCGCCTGCGTGCGTTAGCTCTGAAGCAAGCAAGCACTTTGTAACACGACATACTCGCAACCACGATTTGGGAATGTCAACACTGCAACCAAGTGATTATCCGAAGAATGACGGCTTTGAGTTTGTAACGGCCGATTCTACGATCTGTTTATGTATCTGGAGAGCCTTGAAATGAGACGAGAGGAATGCAAAAGGAACCCAATAAGAAGAAAACAAGTGAGATATAGAAGTGGAGAGAGAACAACAACCATGCAGGCACAGCATCGCCCATAAGCACCCACCCTCAGAATCATCTTCTAAACGTATGTTATTTTAAGGGTGGGCCGCTGCGCAAAAGCTGGACCCTGAAAGAGGCCTTTGTGCGGTTTGAAGAACCTGCTTTGGGATTTGTCTTATTAACAGGTCCTGATCAGAACCGGTCTGGCTGTTGGCTGTTACCATCCACCACCTGGGCTTGGGAGCATGCCGACCTTGGAGCACCCAAACCAGCCAACCTGAAACTTCTTGGAAGCAGAACTCCCAACTGCAACTATAGTAAAGGCCACAAGTAACAGCAGAAGCAATCCCACTCATGGAAAATCGGGCCAACTAAGCCTTTCGCCTCGCACAAGGCTTCCCCGGTTGCACGAGTCACCGCCTCGGGCGGCTCTGTGATCTCCTGCGGTCGCTGGGCACACCAACGGGGTAAGTCTAAGTATCTGTAGAGTTTCTTCGCTCCGACGTCGGCAGGGGCAGATTCTGAGATTCTAGCACTGCCAAACCAGCAGGGCTGCTTTGGCCCGAGAGTGGGCAGAGGTGTCGGGTTTCGAGAGGTGCATTTTCTGGCAGAGCCCGGGAAGTTATTGCCATGGTATGGAGGGAGGGAGAGGAAGGGGGAGGGATGAGGGAGGGAGGGAGAGGGAGGGAGGAACGCACGCGAGAGCAGAAGCTGGACCTGCTGTCGCCATGAACATCATGTGTCTGTGTGTGTATGTCGTGTATATATCATTATGTATGTATGTATGTATGTATGTATGTATGTATGTATGTATGTATGTATGTATATATATATATATATATATATTATAGACATATGATGTTTCTTGTACATGTATATACACACATACCTATATATGTATTACATACGTACATGAATATACACATGTGTGTATATATACACACAGATACACACACACATACAAATTTTACAAGCAGGATCAAGAATCAAGAGTTCTCAAGCATCACAGCACCGCCTTGACAAGCCTGAAGCTCGCAAGCTTTGCCCCGGAGCTCGAAGGTGAACTGCCAAGCTTCAGAGCCATCCGAACCCTTGAGCTCTCTCTGAGCCGAGGATCCGCGAGATGGCCAGCTTTTCAGACGGGTCTCCCTCTGTCAAGGTGAGCATTGCCTCCATGTGCCAGAACTTGGAGTACGCGGACATCCCACTGCTCTCAGAGATCAAGAAAGGCCGGCCATGGCAGAATAGATCCGGTGTGGCCCCTTCATGAAGCGGAGGTGGCTATTCGTGCCACAGTACGCTCTGATGGAAGTAGATTTGCAGTGTGGTGTAGCTGGCGAGAGGCGAAGCTCTGGACTTCGCCGTCGTTGTGATTGGCAGCAACGATGTTTACACCGAAAGTGCGGCTTTCACTGGCAGTGAGATTGGGTCGTGGAAGTTGCTCTGTGCACTGCCAGTGGGCTCAGTATGCACTATGTTCTTGCAATCGCAAAGCCAAGGCCGATGCGATAGTTCACAACTTGATGCGACTGCGCCGCCTTCTTGCTGCCCGGGGTGTCGAAGTCATCTTGTGCAATTTGTATGTGAATCTCGAAGACAGGAGCCAGCAGGGCCTGAAAGCCCTATTGTAGTCAAAACGATGATAAACGATGCAGGCTCCCTCTGAGCTTTTGACCTATCCAGGACCTCGTGGCCCTACGCGGCCGAGGTTTGCGATGAGGCCGGCGCGATGCTTCCTCGTGACTCTCCTGTCTCACGCTGACAGCCCAAGAGTGAATGTGGGTTCTGGGCGAAGTGAGGACGCGGCCCCCTCTAGGGTTTAGAGTTGAGGAGTTTGGGGTTTAAGGTTAAGAGTTTAGGGTCTAGGGTTGGGGGGGGGTTCTGAGGGGGTGAGGGGAACATGCAGTCTGTGTGCGAGGTGCTTTTGGCAGGGTCATGCTGGTCAGAGTCAAAGCGCCCTGCCAGGTGAACAGTCAGCTCCTACAGGACGGCATACTTGCGGCAATAGAGTGCGGTAGCTGAAGCGGGAGTGAGGTTCCTGTCAAGCAGCGCTGTAGGAGGTGTATGGTAGATGCCCCCACATACGACTCCACGTCCACGTTGCTCGACAGGAGGATGGTATCATTGACACAGATGGGCTGTTCAAGACATTGACACCCGAGATGTGGGCCAACACCTACCACCTGACTACCGAAGGCCTTTGCATGCGTTGCACTGCCTTTCACAAGGAAGTCACGTTAAACTCTCAGCCCCTCCGCTGTGAAAGGCTACCATGAGTTTGGGCGCCGATTGGCAGAGGTTGTTGCGGAGCGCTTCCGCTTCGATGCCACGGTGCCTCTGACTCCGTCCCCGGGATCCCTTTTCCTGCAGGGTCCGGGAGACTTTGTACATAGATTATTGCAGGGAGCCTATGTGAAGGAGTCCGGCACCAACCACGGCAAGCCCATCTACAAAAAGATGGGTGCGAGGGGCACCACGAGAGTGTTCCTCTTCTACTGGGATGCCAGTGATGGACCCGAATGGAACGGTTGGTGGCTTGGGCCCAGCCTCAGCTTCGACCACCCTGGCTGGGGCTTCCATGCAAGCACTGGCAACGAGCCTCCGCTGGAGGGATGGACAGTTCCCCCAAGTGGGCCAGTGAGCAACTTGGACCTGAGACTTTGAATGATGAATTTCTCGTTTTATCCGAGTAGGGATCACGGGGTCGGGTCCCTTTATGTTCTTGCAGTGCACACGGAGCCCAGGCGCCATGCACCTCCGCGTTTCGACCGACTCAGAAGCACTGAAGGTTCCATGCCTGCTTAGTGCCAGTGCCCCTGCAGCTGCGGCCAATCCGCCGAGCCCAGGGAAGCGTCGGATCACACTCTCAGAGGAGGTTTGGTGCAAGAAGGCACGGCTCTTAGACCGCCTTGAGGCTCCGAAGCGCCGAATCTGGCGCTCCACTGAATACTGGGCAAAAAAGGCCCGAAGGGCCTGAGCCTTCCAATAGAATCGATACGATCTTGTTGTCAGCATGCCTTTGCGGAGAATGTCCAGATCTTTTCGAAAAATGGCTTCTGCTCTGTTGGTTCAGGCGAGTGTGGTGTCTAGAGCTGCCAAATCCAAGACCAAAACGCTGACAGCCTTGCTCAGTGTCTCCAACACCAAGCTTTCACTTGAGAGACCCTCCTCATGCTTTTCGAAGACGCCTTTCGCAGCTCGGCAGGCCTACACTCCTGAGAGGAAAGAACACAGGTCTGCTCGATCTCAGGCGCCGGAGTCATTGTATTATGTATTTGTTCTGACAATGATACTGCTGCTGATGCAACTACTTTTTTGCGACGACGAAAACTGCTGCTGCTACCACTGCTACCACTGCTACCACTGCTACTGCTGCTACTGCTGCTGCTGCTGCTGCGGCTCCTGCTACTGTCTTAGTAGTAGTAGTAGTAGTAGTAGTAGTAGTAGTAGTAGTAGGAGTAGGAGTAGTAGTAGTAGTAGTAGCAGCAGAAGAAGAAGTAGTAGTAGTAGTAGTAGTAGTAGTAGTAGTAGTGGTAACTAGTAGTGGTAACTAGTAGTAGTAACTAGTAGTAGTAACTAGTAGTAGTAACTTGTAGTAGTCGTCGTCGTCGTAGTAGTTGTAGGTAATAGTTATGGTACCTGATAATTAGCACCGTCTGCGTAGTAGTCGTCGTAGCAGTACGACAGTCGTCCTCGTAGTGCTAGTGCAAGTGCTGTCTCATTTGTCTGCCGCGGCTCTCTGCCGGTGAGGCTCGGGACTCGAAAGGAGCTCTTCTACTTGCGCAGCATGTGTCGGCGATGGATACTCAAGGTGCACATGGCTTGCCTGTCAAGATACTGTATGATTTGTGGACGAACTGTCTCGGGTCGTTGCTGTGTATGGAGTTAAAGAACTCGATAAGTTTGTCCTGAAGGGTGTGAGTCATGCCACAGTTGCGACAGACGCCGAAACTGTTCCAGTGGCCGTGATGTATGGGATGTATTGTGTGAAGTGGCCAAACTGCCGTTTCCATGTTTCTGCTTCGCAGAACTGACACACAGCTGACAAGTTTCAAAAGGTTTGGGCCTGCTGATTGCAGCATTGCGACCCCAAGTGGTGGAGCTCGGCTGTGACGCCTCGGCCACAGGACAGGGTCACACTACCCTACCGCGATGCTGTGTGTGTAGAGTCTACAGATTGTATAATTACAGTGGTGACTGAGCAGTGGCAAGCAGCCGGTGGCAATTTGCGTTCTGGCGGCATTGGCTGCAAAGACGAGCAACAAATCCCGCTTGCCATATCAAGAATACCCTGGCTTAAGCATGAAAAAACGTGAGCCTTGAACGAAGGGCTCTGCCTAGTGCCTGGCAGGAGTTGTGCAGCAACTCTTTACCGTATGCAGTGATCGGCCCGCACTGCGGGCGCAACTGACCGAGAGCCTGGGTGGATCGATCCTCAAGATGTCGAAGGACCGCACCGACCGGGAGTGCCAAGAAGAGAAGCCAAATCGTGCATCATGCAAACAGCAGCAGATGACCGTGTCACTCTCTCGTGCTCTTGCGCTTTTAACGTACATCACAAGGCGCAGAATCATGCATAAAGCAAGCTGAAGAGGACAAACATGGTTGCTTGGCCATCCAACATGCCTTGGAGATGGCTCCCCTCGAGATGCAATGCCTGATTGGATCCGAGCTGAAGGGCAAGGTGTCGCCTGGCTGTCAGTACATTATATTCTAGCATTAGACTCTTTGGTTCCGGCCGCCGCGCTTGCCGATTTTGCGTAGAATTTGCTTTGTTTTGAAAGGGGTATCACGCTCCCCCACCTCAGTCCTTCCCCGGCGGTGCTGTTTGTGATCCAGGTTCTATTGCAGCCGGCATATGCATGGAAACTTCGTCATGCAGAAAATCATTCAAACCCTACCGCCGTCGGCTCTCATGTTCATCATGCTCGAGCTGAAGGACTCATGCCTGCTCCCTCTTTGTAGCTGGGTGAGAGACGCGGGGGGCACAGGAGACGGTGGTGGCAGCAGCGCTTCACATCTACGCTTGCCGCGTTCTTCAACGGCTCATCGAGCACTGTGGTCACCGCCCCGAACTCCTGTCGCTCCTCGAGGACCTAGTGGTCCCAGGCACCAGAAACCGCGGAAGCTCCGAAGTTTGCTCTGATGAGTCTCGGATTCTCCCATGAGACTCGGAGGTGAGCAGCTCCAGCGTTTGGTAAAGGATCCGTACAGCAGCAATGTTTCTCAGCTTAAGAGGAGAACAGTCGGAGCGCCGGGTGTCTTACAGCCGTGATCTCGAGGTGATTCGCACACTTGTGGTGTGTGGCAGTGTGGAAAACGCTCGCGTTGTCTCTCGGACGAGATCCAGGTCTTCTACACGAGCTGTAGTCAGTTTCATCTTCCAGTGCCTGGTCTGGCCAAGGTCATGCGGCTGTTCAGCGAGGACGTGATGAAATATTCACGCAACCGGCACGCGAGCCTCGTGCGTGCCTAAGAATCCAAAGACTTGAGAAAACTGCGGGAGGTTTTCTCTCGAGGCGTTGCAAAGCGTATGGATGCGCAGGTACTGGAAAAGTGTTTGGAGGTTTCTGCCGGCCCGAAGGCATCCGAGTTGGCCGAGGACGGGATGAATTGTCCAAGAGTCCAACGTCAAGTATGGCGTCCTAGCTGGTGCACTTTGTCCTAACCGAGCCGGTAACAGCTGAGCTTAACGAGGACCGTGCGACATTGATGACAGCCTTCTTCTCTTCCTCCACACGGAGCGCCAGCCCTCCTCTCTTGCAAATCATGCTGGCCTCTCGGCTTGAAATTGAAGTGCTCGGGTGTGCTGGATGCTGTATCTGGTGTTTGAAGCGGCCTCTCGACCTGGAGGCTAGTTGTGGAGCGTTTCCTGGATAGCCCGCGGTTGCAATTTCTTACGACTTACGACTTACGATAGCTGCAGCGATTAGCGGTGTGGCTGACAACGCATGACATCATTACAGAAGTCACAATCTTCGGCTTGATCGTGATCCAAATCCTACCCGAAAGCAAGGCAAGTGTGAGCGCGCAAACCCGCGATGCGGCAGGACCGATTCGGGAACTACATCGTCCAGCGCGTCATTGAGACCAGCACAGGTGCAGAAAAGAACGAGGCCAGGAACCACACTCGTGCAACAAACCTATGTCTTGATTCCTGGTCCACAAATCGTGGCTATGTACTGCTGGCGTCTGTCTCGAACATCTGTTGTAAGTCAGCGAGACCAAAACGTAGGTTGGTGTCTTCATCGTGGTAGCATTGTCTTCGAAGTAGTCGCTGGCCGTTATCATTGCCAGTCGTTTGCAGGTCAAGAGGCTTCTGACGCTTGCGTGGCCAAAGTTACAGACACACAGCTGCAGCATAGCGAAGGGCACTCCGGCACAACCGAAAATGCCACCCAGTTTGACCGAGGAATGCTGCCGCTGGGAAGCACATCTTGTCCGCAGCAAACAAGAAGTTCTCTTTCAAGGTGCCGTCAGACCTTGTCTGATTTGCAGCAGTTACTCCACAATCGCTGGCAAGAGACTTGCTGAAACGATCGGGCCGCATGCCCTTTGCAGATAATCCGCGGTTCGCAAGCAGGTTCAATGATGGCAGCGATGGCAGCGACAGTTTGGAGACTTGCCACTTGCTTTTGTGCATGGCTTCTGTGACTCTTTCTCTGTCGCACCGAACAGGCGCCGGAGTCGCAGTCGCCAGATAGAAGCATGCTTTACAATGCACTGATCCAAGATGAGCCAAGGACAGGAGATGAAGAAGGTGCACGCTTGCATAGCTCTTTCGTAATGATCAGCCAGTTCGCGACAGCGGCAGCCTTGAACTGAATTCACCGAGAGCCCCAGAATCAGGGACTTTGGGGAGGGCATGATGCAGCCCGGAAGTTAACTGGAATCTAGTCAACTAGCTGCTAGTGTGTCTTAGTGAAGTTTGCCCTAGACACAAAGAGGGTTCGGATGAACTGTCGAAGCTTGCCTTCTTCAAGCTGCACAGACCAGTTCAGGTTGGACGATAGAGAAACTGTTTGAAATCAAGCCCGTTTGAACAGCGCTGCTGTGTCTGCGACGTGGATGGAAGCAATTGACGTTGCACACCGGCAGCTTTTGCACAGGGACAAGGGCGAGGATCTGAATAACAGTATGGCAAAGAATCGACGTTTCTAATTATAACGTTTCCTTCTCCTCATGGCCCGTGAACATGAACAGGGGGGTCTCAGCGCCTTACCGCCCACCAAGCGTTCCTCATCCCAGCACATCCAATCCGCCGGAGACGGGACGTGTCGCGTGGACCATTTTTGTCCTGGCGCAGAAGTCCTTGTGGACTGCACCAGCCCCCGACAGTGTCTGTGCCCATCTTTTGCATTTTCGGGAACATTCCCAGAAGCTGGAGCTCTTCCGATTGAAGGAACAGCAGACAGCACTTGCCAAGATTTTAAGTTGCATTGGTCATGCTTGCATGCTCGACATGTTTGACCATTCGCTCGGTCCTTGAAGGCTCGACCTGTATGTTGAGATAAGCAACAAGTCTGTCATGCCTCTGCTGGTCAGCCTTAGGATTCCTTTGGCACTGGAGCATGAGCTGCTCAGCACCAGCCCAAGGCATCCAATTATGCGGAACTTCAGGGCGCCACTGGTAATCTACTTTTGATTTGAATGATTTTTACGGCACGCTTCGTGTGGCTACCCGGTTTTTCCGGAAGCCGGGAGCGCCCGAAGCAGAAGCCATCACGACGGTACTTGCCAGAGACCGCGATATATGCGCGCTGCTGTGACAGCTGTCACGCTGCTTGCTGACTGCAACGTTTAGACAAGTCCATATCGCATGTCGAAGTTTAAGCGCTGTATGATTGCATTTCAGGTTTTCTTTTGCGGCTTTCGTTGATTGGATCTGTAGCAGCAGCAAAGATGCGATTGTGTGCACGTCTGCTCGGGCGTCGAGCTGGGCGATGGCATAAGTTGAGAGCTGTCGCTGTGGAGCGGTGTATCGTGTTGACTCCACGGCTCGTGGCTTGCCTTTCAAGGACGACTGTGACTCCTTCACTGAACCTCGCCCTCACTGCCAAGGAACTAAGAAGCTTGACGGTACTTATCAGGTGGCACAGCAGGGCCTAGGTTCGGATCGAATCCTCATCACGGCGCTTCTGTGCCTTCACAACTTCGAAGAGGCATCGTGGGTGGTCGGCGGGAAGGATTGAATCTCCGACTGTCACGGACGCTTGTTGTTGCAGATGTTGAGACTTCCGTCTGGGACCCCACACACCAACGAATCATGTCAGACGCATGATGAGCCTCAGTGTTTACTTTTTTAATTTGCGTGCAGCAACTGTTTCAATGAATTCGACTTTGATTAGGTATTCGGACGATCGCTGAGCAGGCAATCAAGACTTTCAGGGAGCAGACGCCTTTTCGGCGAAGGACAGCAGCCGACCGGACCGGCCAGATTCGTAGGCAAGTCTGTCGTGGAGCGGGATCGACACTTAACAAAATAAGCCCAAAATGGTTCCTGGCCCACGTTCGGCGCTTCCTGGGTTTGCATGCCTTCGCAGCGGAAGCTCAACGTCTTTGCCTGAAACATGGAGATCGCCCGGGTACGCCATAAGTCCTGTTGCCAGATTAATCGTATCTGTGTCAACTAAAGAGTGCATGTTAGTGATGTTTTTGATATTCATTGTCGTTTTGATTCAGTTAGTGCGCTCTGCAATGTGATGGTTTGTTCGCTTCTCCAGCTGGCTTTGTCTCGATGACAAGTTTGCTCGCATGCATGTTGTTTGGTCACTTCCATCTTCTCGTCGCAATGGCTTGTCCTTTGCTTGAACTAACAATCAAGTTATCATGCCCTCTTACGTATCATCTTCTTCTGCAGCCGCTCGTATTTTTTAGCGTAGCTCCCAGTCACTAGGCTTTGCTCAAAGCCTAGATCGGCCACAGGTGTGAACGCGGTGCTTGCATGGTGTTTGAAAAAATTCGTTGCTTCGACGGCCTATAAGTGGAGGCCACATTCGCGAGGGAGGGGCAGTGACTCATTGGTTCGAAGATGTATGCAATGCAAACGTAGTCTTTTAGTTTGTTAAGCTGACACAGGTTAGCGACCAACAGTGATCATCAAGGAAGAACGTGCAGCCACTGCGCAGCCCAGCTTTCCCAATGTGTTAGCTCGCGTGCTCAGGCGTTGCTGCACGAGGCCCGCAATGCCGGAATGACGAGACCCGGTAACTTGTACGGGCAGTGCGGAACGCATGGAGAATCCGTGCCACTTTAAACCAGACGAGGCGAGTCCAAGGCTCGAGCAGATTGAATGCCTTTGCGGCCTTGGCCTCGCAGGATTGATGTCGACCCTGGTGCACACATTACATGTTACTTGGGATAGCCAAGCTTGCACTTGCCAGCGAAATCTCGTTGTCTGTGCAGAACTCTCAACATCCAGTCTTTCAGACCAGTGTGTATTCAGGTAGGCGACGAGACCGGCGAGAAATGCCAAAAAGCTTCCAGAGCTGCTCCATGTCTCCTCCTCCTCTCTCTCTCTCTCTCTCTCTCTCATTCTCTCTCTCAGACTCTACCCATCCCCTACCCCTCCCCTGCCTCCCATCCTTCTCCCTCCCTATCTTCAATTCCCTTTCATTGAGCGATCAGCCATTGGTTGGGTGTGATTGATAGTTTCGGAGGTTGGCCTTGCGATTTCTGGGTTGGGATTGTGAAGGAGTGAGCAGATTTGTCCCGTCATGCACAGCTGTAGCCTGGAATGTCTAGTCTACCAAGCCATCGATAGCTACCATTAGCTACCTGAAGATCTCTGTTGTCTTGCGTTCATGAGCAGAAGATGAAGCCTGCGATGCCAGGGGGAGTACGTTCAGACCAGCGGCCAGACCCAGACATGGCAGCAAGATGCCGGCAGAGGGACGAGACCTCAGCTCACTGCAATGATGCTCAGTCATGGTCAGTCCTGTTGATATCATGCAATGGTTTTGGCTGCCCGCTTCCAGGTTTCTGTACAGCTACCAGGACCGACACCTTGCATATCCTTGCATCCCTCGTCTCCGCAGGCTGCATGTCTTGGTGCTCTGCAACTTTGTGTCACGGAAGACTTAATTTTATCAATTAGCTCTCTCTCCAAGGGCTGCGACTCTTAGACGTGTGTTGAGTAAGTCCTTGCAAACAGCAGCTTCACCGGTGCAGGGGACCCGAGATTGGCCACCTAAGGCTTACGTTTAACCACTTAGTCATTGTAGCCAGGCTGGGTTTTGATAGCGTGCTGGCAGTCGTGGCAACTGCCGGCTGCTCTCTTGCCGGGTTCCTCTTCCATGTGTTGTACCGCCTTGTGCTGGTGGCGGAAGGCGCAACATGGGAAACATCGTGAAGGTTTTTGGGTAGGCTCCCATATGCCGCAGGTCTTCCTTTGCTTGTCGCCGCCATTTACTGAAGCAGTTTTGGATGAGCTCGCGGCATAGCAGTTGGAAATGTAAAAAGCAATTGAAGACAATCCCGGACCTTCCTGGTTTTTGCCACGTCGGGAGCTGCAAGATGGATGCTGAGTCAAATCCAGGCCTAGAGGTCGATGGTGTCGCATGCATCGGATTGCCGGTCAATCCGTTGGCGGTCGCGGCGATGGTTGAGAAAGCACAGCCCGCACCCTTCGGACGAGGGGAAGCCACGCTTGTTGACACTGATGTGCGAAGCGCGTCCCAGCCGGATGTCAATGCCTTCCAGCTCAAGGGGCGAGGCAAATTTCCTGGACCCAGAAGGGGGCTACTCTAATCGAGATACCGAGAGGGCTGAGCGAATGTTTGCCAGCCTTGTCACAGTCTTGCCAAGCGAGTTCTTCGGAGGGGATCTTGTCGTGGAGCACCAGGGAATATCAAAGTGTCCTCTTGCATGTCGAAAGAGTCGGCAGTCAGCGATGGGGCCCCTCAGCGTCGCATCCTCGTCAGTGTCATTGCTTTTGATCGCTCTTGTCTTCCGCGTTTTAGACATGCCAACAGTCGTTCGGAAGGGCGGCACGGATTTTGGAATCGAAAGTGGAGTGGTGGAGAGAAGAAGGTGGAGTTTGGAACGGAGAGTGGAGAGTAGAGAGGACAGGTGTGAGTGCAGAGCGGCTTCAGTGGATGAGTGGAGCGGAGAGCAGAATGACAGGAGAACAGAGCGGAGAGTATTCGGATGTGTCAAAGTCGTCTCAGCCTGTATTGATCCGGCACACGCTGGGCGATACAAACACGGAAAGTCGCATCAAGCAGCGTTTGGTTGGTGATTGTTGCGGCCTTTGGCCGTACAGCTTTTGCATGCATGTTTTTGATTGTGGGAGGGGTTCTTGGGTGAGTTTTTGCATCCAGCGCAAGTGCTGGTGGACTGGTTTGCTCAGAGAGGAGCATACGGCATACGGCAAGCTTTAGACCCGGTGTCCAGGAGGGTGCTGATGCTCCACGGTGGGCGATCGCAGAAAGCCGGGACGCGATGGTCGGTGGAAACCCTTGCTTGCGAGGCCACTGCGTAGTCTGTCTAGACCTGAGGTTATTCGCTGAGTTCATCTCAGGCGTTTGGCCTCACGGTGGAGCACCACCTTCAGAGATGCGCTGGCAGCAGCTGGAGGGTGGGAATTGTGATGAAATTCGAGATCTTCATGCTTACGTGGATGCGGCTGCTGTCCAGTGATGGAAAGCTCTCTAGAAGGTAATGTCGACGGAGGTCAGGCCCCCAAATAACTTGCACGGCACAGACATTGAAAGCAAATGGCAAGTATAGAATTGAGGACGGAGGCATAGCTGCCGTTACTCAAGAGGGCGTTGCTGATGTTTATCTTGCGCGTGTGCTTGAGAAATCGACCGTGTACATGAGGTTTGACTGGTTTCGCCATGTTGTGACGCCACTGACGTTTGTCTCGATCACATGCTTCCGAAACTGTGCGTCGCATCTGCACAGGGAATGGCTGGTGCTGGTGCTGATGTGCTGTAATGCCACTGCTGTGTGTCTTGAGTGGGTGAGTGCAAATTCGCGCGTCTACATGGGGGATGGCTGGGTACAGTAGCCATGTGTTTTGTTCCGGCGAGCACATCCTGGCAGCATCTACAGCATTTGGGAAAGCCATGCTGACATCATCATGATCTCATGGCATCGCAGACTGAAGGGAAGAGCCACAAAACACAACTCACCATGTCCCGAGTCCCGAAAAGGTTTTGGAATGAGCACCCCACTCTTTCAAGCTTGCTGCTGACGATGACGTGGTGCAGCGGCAATTTTGTCACACACGCCTTGCTGGTAAAGGATACTGCGGACGGACATCTAAAGCAAGAAGGAAGTCGTAGAAGCCGCGCCAAATCAACGAATCTTGCATGCCCCACCAACAACCGCACATTGTGGCATCCAGTTCAACAACAAGCTCCGCCTCTCCAGACCGCGGGCCTTTGCATGTCAACATATCGGTGCACTTTTTGTCTTTGCTTTGCGTGCTCGTTGCTTTGCCTCCCGTTCACACTATGTGCATGCATGTATGCTGAAGCGACCTGCGTGATTAATGCTTGCTTGACGATCGTTTGCCTGCCTTTCCAAGTTGGTCGCCGCAGGCGGTGTTTGGCGTGAGGCTGGAAAGACCATCGTGCTCGCGAGATTCTTGACTGCAACCAGTGCTGAAATCAATGGGGTTGAGTTGGTATGGTTTGCCCCCTGCTACACCGTTAGCTTTTACGTTCCACTCCTGCCCGTGGGACCCTTGAGCATTTTGATTTCCGCACATGTCTAAATAATATAAATGATATGACTTGGGTCTCGGGGGAGTCCATCCTAGGCGGGGTTGCGATAAGCATCGGCAGAGCCCAAAAGACGCACGCACAAAGGTCCGCGAGTTGCGCCTGCGGCGTCGCCCTCAGCATGGCCGCTTTGATCTGGGATGACACGTTGCTCTTGCAGAGAGTTGCCTGTTTACATGCCTCGGATGCAGTACTGGCCGCGTAGGCCGTGGAGGACTCTAAGCCGGAAGGTTCAGACGCAAGGCTCGTCGAGGTGGGATCCTGGTCGATGTCGACTGCTTCTTGCGATACGCAGAGTGCGAAGTACGTAGAACTCAGAATTGGAAGCTCAGGGTTTCTGACCGGCTTTCCCAAACCCAACCGCCATTGGCCGGATCGCAGGAGTCCAATCCGTCGCCAGACAACGTGCCAGCGCGCTGCTCCCAGCACCACTGCTGGTAAGTGCCCGAAGCATGGCCTTGAAAGGTCTCGAAGCCTATACCCGGTACTATACCCAATAAGCCGGCCGGGTTCCACGGGTGGCGTGTTGTTCGCATTTCCTTCTAGGCTGCCAAGGTCACAGGAGTCTCGACCAGACTGGTTTTCCTTGGACTCTTTGGCCGCTTCGAGGTACGTAGACGAGGCTGGGCTTCCTCTGAAAGAAAGCACGTTTATTATCGTTTGATCAAGATGAAGATGTTATGAGTGCCGGCCAGGGCGATGCCGAGAAACCGGTGATGGAAGCTTATGCTACGGTCCCAGAGGCCTGTTGAGCTGCACACTGTTTGCAGTGGCACGTGTAGAAGCAAGGCCAAGTTTCAATCAGTGTGGTATATAGAAGAGTGAGACTGCAAAAAGCAGCTGTGCTGCGGGCTGTGCATGTGGGCAAAACCACAGATGCTATGTTTGAGAAGGTGGCGACCCCGACCAGCCTGCAGGCATTGTCAGGACCGTGGCCAGACGAGTTCTTGTGAAGCTTGGCTTTCATGTGAGCCGCCAGGATCTGCGACCATACCCACCGAATTACGAAGACGTGTGTCGGAGGAGGCGGATGGCCTATAGGACCATGTACTGTAGAGTCGATTGAGGTTGTTCCTCAGCTGAGCTGTTCGTTTTGTTATCGACAACAAAAGCAGCCATGGCCACCACCCGTCCTAGCCTCCTGCAGTTTGAGCCTAGTGCTTGCTCACAGAGTGCGATGCGAGAGGCTAATGGTTATGCGACCTTCGGTAAGCGAACAGAGCTTTCCAGAGGTCGAAAACCTCCTCGCAAAAGCCAACTTGGACTTCATGCACGCGGCATCCTTGGATTCTGGGCACACAAAAGACTCCTGCCAAAGCATCTTTCACTTCCATGCATCCAGGCAAGCTTGGAGGGATAGCATAAGGGAGGATATGGGCAGTTTCGCTTGGCTCAAGCCTGAAGGCAAACTTGCCTCATCACCGGCCTACTGTGTTAAAGAGAGCGGTGGCCGTCGATCGTTGCACAGCGCGAGAGGAGATGAAGTGTGGTGAGGCGGTAGCGCAGGGGCTCTAAAATGCACATCAGTCAATCTGAGCACTGCGTACTTGGAGCACACGTGTCCGGATGAGGTCAAGCACTTGAGACCAAATCACATCTGCTGTCCGGTGGTTGACCTCATGCAGATTGGAGCAGACCTACTGACATTGACTGACGCGGATCACCCTCGTGGACTGTTGAACCAGGTTGCGCACTGTGAGTGGTGGTGCGAAATCCATAGCCATGCCAGGAACGACGGGGGTAACGCCGTTCGCTTTTGTTGCTCAGCC